AGACTGCTCGAGCGGGAGCGCAGCCCTGCCTTTGTGCCGAACTTTGGGCGGTGAGGCTCTTCTCTTGGCTGGAGAATTTCTCAGGACCGAACTTTATGTACAGATACCTGTCTTTCAATAAAGAAAACCGTGTGGATAACGGCTGGGGGCCCAGACTGCTCGAGCGGGAGCGCAGCCCTGCCTTTGTGCCGAACTTTGGGCGGTGAGGCTCTTCTCTTGGCTGGAGAATTTCTCAGGACCGAACTTTATGTACAGATACCTGTCTTTCAATAAAGAAAACCGTGTGGATAACGGCTGGGGGCCCCGGGCGCCGAACCCGAGTGCTCAGCCTCATGATTGTCCGGCTGCGAGCTGCTTTCACTCGCTGTTTATTTGTCCTCTTATTAAGACTGCGATACAGGAAGGTATCGCAAGTGAAATAACAGTTTTATAAGTTCTGGATGTGGTTTATGATACAATAGACTGCAGTGTGCATGCAGAGGGGCAGAAAGCCCCGTTGCAGTAATACTGGTATGAAGCACAAAGAAAATTATTGCCAGACCTTATAGTTTGTTGAACTCACTTGATACTTGATTTTGTAACATTATTTTTTTCCTCCTGAGTTGGTGAAAGCAGAGATTTCAGAAACCTGCCATTGTTAGAGGGGAGGAAGAGACCCTGGAACAGGGAATTGGTAGCAGCCTTGTCATGTAGGTGTGGTTCAGCAGTCCGGCTAGGACTTCATTTGTCTCCATTGTTGCTTTCTCAAGCGTTGTTGCTTTAGTTGGCTATTCCTCTTGATTCTTTTTCACGACTGTTTGTGATAAGGGGCTACCTCGCAGCTAACCGGCTTCACCATGACCTGTTCATCTTTATTCCTACCATTGTCTCCTAGGGAGAACTACTGAGGAAGATGCTTTGTCATTCAGAGCCTCTTCAGCATTGCACTTTGCTAATTCTGTCTTTCATTTGTGTCAGAAGTGAATCAGCTGCATTTTAATTAAATTATTAAAAATTATAGAGTAAATGGATAAAACCTCTGCCCTCAAGACAGCTGATGTCATCCTTCTTCCCCTGAAGAAATGCTCTTCAGGCTCTTCTTGAAGCTTCTATTGTACAGTTGCTGCTGCATAGCTCTGTTGCTGCTGTCGCCTGCCGCTAAGCGTAACACCCACTTACAGTTTTAGGTGTTCAGGGGGAATGCTTTGGCTTTTTTATTCATCATTTTGGATTAGAAGTCACCTCACTGCTCCTTGTGTCAGATGATCTGATTGAGATTTTGCCTCCTAGGAAAAAAACCTTGATCAAATTTTGAGGTGCATTGTTCTGGAGTCTGCGAGTCTGCGTGAGGCAAATACAGGCTCAACTAAGCTCTTTTCTCTTTGGAAAGTGTGCTGTAGTCTGGAAAAACCCACTTCTTTCAACCTTTTTTCTCAACAGAGCATTAAATGTGTTTTGGGTTCTTGATAACTCTGCCTCACTGTCTTCTTTGGTACCTCTCTTGAGTACCATCACTGAAAACTGTGGATTCATGCGCCAAACTGCAGAGCAACGTGTCAAAGAAAACATCTGCTGATAATACATCAGTGGTGTGATGCTACGCAACCTGGTGGAGTGCAGAGTCATTTCTCAATATATCATGAAGAGGGAATGGCATGGCGAGATGCATTTTCAGTAATTACAGTGGGGATGTGACTTTGCTAAGGAGGCAATCCTCCAACACACCATCCACCAAAAAAGAAGAAGGGATTGAAAACAAAGCTTCAAGATTTTTCCACTGATTTGTCAGATGCTATTGGGTGTGTCCTGCATGCAGTCTGATTAGTCCTATGTCTAGTGGCATTGCATTCCCAGGACTGCAGAAAGAAAGAAATAGCTCCAGTTCAGCCATGCTTCCAGTGGTTACATCCATGCTGTTAAGGATCTACGTCATTGGATTGACCTTGGATTTTAGTTACAGATTTACCTTTGTTCTACCCAAAGCTGATTTGGTTATATAATGTATATAATATATTATGCTGCTTTATAATGTACATGGATAATTTTTGCATCCAGACTGCTGAATCATGCAGCTGCAGATTTGGGATGTTCTATCCATGTCACAGCTTCAGCTTCTAGGCCTCCTGTGTGCATGGAACATCTAGGTTTTTTCTCCCTGCCCTCCTGTTTATTTTGCCTCAGGTCCTGTATTTTGGACATTGCCTGTCTCAGCAGTCTTAACTACACCTAGTCAGAATCTTAGCCCTACAGCAAATTTGGATTCATGACAAAAGCAGCTAGGGATGATGGACAGGGTATATCATTAGCAGCACTGCTGAGTCATAGTCCATATTGCTTAAGTGACCTCCAGAAAGCTTTGTCATCTCCCCACACAAGCTTGCTGTCAGGGGCCAGCAAGATAGTTATCTTCTAGCTTCTTGAAGTTCAGCATTCATGCATTCAACATACTTTAGTTTCATGTTCAATGTTGGTTTTCTGGTCAGTTTTCATATGTGCTGTACATGTGTGATATTTTATCATCTTTAGTTTCTTGCTTTCAAATATTCCAGCATCTGGAAGACATTAAAGCCTGCTGAGCTGTATTTATCTGCCAAAACTACGCCCCAAAAATGCACCATATGGCTAAGAGATTTTTGAGAAATGAAAATAAGGAGACTTGCAGAAGAGACTCACTGCTTATGCCTCTGAACAAAGATGAATTAGTCAGGAAGTGGAGGTGGCTGGTTATAGCTCAGTTGTTTTTCTCTTAAGTGATTATGAAACACATGGGCAATACTGTATTTCCAAATTAATTTAGAGTTTCAAATGGTAGCTACTTAATAGCTGGTAGCATATCCCAGTAAGCATGCTCCTACCTGGACTGGGATGCTGACAAGGAAAAGCCCTGGATGAATTCTCCCTGGACAGGCTTCAGGCTCTTGAAATGCAGATGTTCATATTTGCATGGAGAACCTACCCAGAGCTGCAGTGGGAGAGCAGCACTGCAGATCTGGTTTCTCTACTCTTCTCCCTCTTTCTCCTCGTCCTTCAGCCCTACAACATGGCTTCTGCCAGCACCAGTCCTGACGTTTCTGCTGCCTTGAAAGAGAATATAGCATGGGAGGTAGTGTTGACAGTAACATTCACAGCCTGAAACCCTGACAGAGTTACCAGCAGGAGTGTTAATGCTAGTCTCGCGGTGAGAGTTTGGCCATACAGCTATTCAAACATCTCCTCACCAAACCCCAAAGTGATTTAACTTAAACCATTTCATGCAAAGACACAGTCAGGCATGTGGGGAGGGGCCACCAGACACTTCCTCACCTGCAGTCCTTTAGTGTTTGCCAGCTAATTTGTGTTAAGTCTAATGATGTTCCTTTAGGGGGGAAAAAAAATCACTGTAATGTCAGTGTTCAAAATTGCAGCAGTACCTGGACTTACGTGTAGTGCAACTACCTGCTCATTATTTTTCAAAACCAGAAGATTTTTCAGAACAATTTTGAAACATGAAAATTATAGAAAAATGTTAAGCATGTTCTCCTGTGAGGTTGTAAAAATTTATTCAGCCACCAGAATCTTACGAAAGGAAACTATAAAATTTGTCTTTTGGCTGCAATGATTTTTTTTTCTTGGTCAAATTTAAATCCTTAAAATATATTTTGGAATAATAGATGTCTGGTCATATATGTGTCAAGTGTTTCACTCTCTAAGTAGCCATGGGGAAAAACACTAGGGAATAGACATGTGCTATTTAGTTGGGGTTTGGTTTTTTTCTTTTTTCTTCTTTTTTTTTTAAAAAAAAAAAAAAAAGATCAAGCGTAGCATTTTTAAATCTCAAAACTAGAATTTAGGTGCTTCATAAATAAAACATCATTTAAATTTTAATTTAAAATATAGGATGCTTCAAAGCTTTTGAATGAAGAAGTCAGCAATTTAATACTTTGTATTTAAAAATTAATTTGCAACATGCTAGATGGTGCTGCCTTTTTTTCTCAGAGCAATAATTTCAATGGTCCTACAAGGTGACTGATGTGTCCTACAAGTGATTAATTCTTTCAGTTTTGTAATTCACTGTGTTGGTATTTTAAAGTCAGTTCAGGGACATCAGTAACTTCTTGTAATGTGGCTTCTGAGATGTGGGACCAGCAGTCCTGAAGCCAGTGCGCCTTAAAGGATGGTCACCCTTTGGAAAGGCAGATTTCCTCTTGCTTGTGACTAATTCCTGCCCAAAGTGCTCCTCCAGAGCACTCAGGACTTCCCAAAAATAGCTATGTGCCTTGAAAGGAAGGGAGGCTGGGTTTGGAATTTAGAAATATGCAAATAGCATGAATGCAAATGGAGGAATACTTAGTTAAATCTTCCAGTGCTCATTTATCAAGCTAGCTGTGTTTTGTATTTTTGAATTTCAGGAATCCGATCATGGGACACAAACTTGATTGAATGCAACTTGGATCAAGAACTGAAACTTTTTGTGTCTCGCCATTCAGCTCGATTCTCTCCCGAAGTTCGAGGTGAGTTTTTGGAAGCATTTGACAAAGGTTTTGGTTTTGGCTGGGTTTTTTTGTGGGAGGGGGGGTTTGTTTGTTTTGGTTTTTTTTTAAGAGAAGAATTAATAAATACACTTTGGAATTTTATGATCCACTTTCATTTGTGATTCTTTACATGGAGTAATTTTTTTTCCTTTATTTTAAAATATGACTTGAAAAATATAATTTGTTTTAACTTTCTCACAACTTAACTTTAAAGTAATCAGCCTTTTAGGTTAGCTTCATGTATATCACCATGATTACTTTGGTCGTAGTTGTTAGTTTTAGGGTCACATTAAAGTTAAGTGAAAGCCACTTTTTAACAGAGCAGTTTTTTTATGTAGCACCAATCTAGTAGTCCCAGAGACTGAAGCTTATTGTGGTAGGTAGAGCACATTTGAAAAAAAATAATCTGAAAGGTTAACTCTCTTTTTTGATGGAGCCAGAAATGGTGTAATAGCTGTTGCGCAAGCGCGGCTCAAGCACCGTGTTTCTTCCAAAAGGGCTTGGACTTTTCTCTTTCTTGATAGGAAAAGCTGAGGGGTGGAGGGTCTATCTTGACTCACGGGAACTTTCTTTGGCTTGTATGAAGAAATAAGAAACTTACAGGACTCATAAGACTAAATCTCTTTTGTTACCTTTTCTTCATGCCTGCCCTTCCTTTAAAGGATTTATACAATAAAGCAAAACAAAACAAAATCCAATTTTGTGAAGTGTAAAATGATTTTGTTCTGGTTGCATGGGAATCAAGTGAGTGGTAAGCTTTCTAACATCTCATTACTTTAACACAAATACTGAGTGCGCATGGGTGAAATTAATCATAGTTTTCATGTAAAAATACATAGCCTTCTTAAAGGAGTAGAGGTTGCTTTCATTGGTGAAATCACTGTGGCCATGTGTACTTTAATTAGTATGACCTAGTGCTGATGAGTGTTATAAATTCCACCTTCATGAACATCTCTTAAGCGTGATGAAAAAGGGCTATGAAATGTATCATGCTACTATATCACATTCCTAGGGTCAGTTGCTGTACACTGTTGACGAAGAGATCCTGATATCTTGCTAGTATGACAGCATAGACCTGATGATTTCAAATAATGTACCAAAATGTCTTGTGTAACTAACTCTTCCACTTGAAGCATAGGTTATAAGTGGATTTTGCCGTATTTCCCCATATCTATAGAGAGTAAAACATTGCCAGAGTTAGGAAAAAAACCACAATTCTATGATTCTTCTCGTGGTTTGAAAACCAACAGAATCAATACAACAATAGTCAGTGTGAAGATTTATCAGGACATGTAGTTCTTGATTTACGTGTGTCCTGGTTTTTGCTAGGATAGAGTAGTTTCATGTTGTTAAACTATCACAACATGAAACTAAACATAGGCCTAGAATACATGTCTTTCATTTCAATTTAAATGTCATTAGGGGAATTCAACTTCTCAGTGACACTAGTTGCTTTTTTTGTAGAGAGGGTATTCTGATAAATCAAATTGGCTGAATTTATCTTTAAGGAATGCAAGATGCAATGCATCCCATTTTTAAGATGTATGTGTTTTACTTTAAAACTTCTGGGAGAAAAAGGTCCTACACTTCTCCTTTAGCAAAAATATTCCAGTGTGTCTAATATTTTTTTCTGCCTTGTTTAGATGACACATCCTGATACCATTGCATGGATTAAAATGAAGCAAGTACTATGCTTTCATATGATAACTAAAATAAGATTATGCACCCCTTTTTTCAACAGAAAGATTATAGAATCCTCTAGGAATTGTGGGTTGGGTTGATTTTTTTTTCTTGTTTGTCTACACTTGCCTGTTTAGTCTGTTATTGTGTTGAATTACAGCTTAATTGCATGTGTCTGGAATTCATCAACATCTCTATGACAAGCAGTAATGAATGTGTTTTTCACCACTGTTCAATCTTTAAACAATAAACTGCCAAAGTCTGTATTGAAAGAGCATTAAGGGAGCCTAAAACTAGGATAAAGGGAACATCCAGGAATAAAATTAGCCCTCTTGTCCAGTTTCTTGTCTAAAATTTTGTGGGGAAGCCCATTAACACCTCCAGAATCCCACTGCACAGATCAGAGGATCTTTTATTTTAGTTTCCTCTCTGTGATTCTCTGATGTTGAAACTGCATGAGGCTCCTTTGTATCCTCTCTACAGTTTGGTAGGGAGAAGAGGGTTTTGTTGCCATTTGTTAATAACATTTCAGAATGTTTCATTTCTGTTACAATACCCAAATGTTGAATTTTGAGTGTTTAACCAGTGAAATGGTCAGTGTTCATATTAAAGAGATGATTGTAAGTATGTATTCCCCTATGGTCCCAAAATGAGAAATTCTACAGTATTTGGGTAACTAGGTGACCTTTTGCCCAAGGAAAGTATTTGTCCAAGGTGATGGGGTAGTCTGTGGGATGTAATTAAACAGCCTTTTCTTCAGTCCTTTGAGATGTAACTCTTTGTGTGCCTCACACATAGGGACAGTTTACTCTTGAGGAAGGGTAGAGCCATCTAGTGTGTCTGCACAGCTCCTAGTGTAGTCAGGTCTGACAGCTGACTGAAGCCTGTTTGATTATAATGTTTAATTATGGTAATGGCAGTGCCAGCTCAGTACATGCTCGTATGCTTCTCAAAGCAGCTCGAGGATACGCTTGGCAGCAATGTGAAGGGTAGGACTCTTTCTCCAAAAGGAAGTTTAGAGGAAATGGAGACAGCCTTGTTCCTATGCCATATGCCTGCCATGTCAAAGGAGGGACATGTGAGAGACTATGTTTGTCAAAGCATTCATGTCTTTTTACTTGAGGAATTTGAAGTCTAATCCTTCTCCCTGTGTAGTGAATAGCAGTGTACATATTGATAATGCAGGGAGCAAGACCAGATCC